TATATATATACAGTATATGAACAAAGCAGCTAAATAAAGTACAAAAATGGAAAAACTGTGAAAAGGCTCAACAGAACAAAAACACTTAAGGGATTCCAGAAGATTTGGCTCCCATGAAACAAAGTATAAAAAAGACTTAGGATATGATTAAAAATTCTGCACAGTGCATTTTAAAATGATGAAATATTAATATAAATTTAAATTTCCAGAAAAAGGAAGAAGTTTTACCATACAAAATAAATACGTGAAGATACAAATAGTATTTGTTATTAAATGTGACATCAGGTAAAACAAGCTGATATACAGTATATAAATGTATATTATTTTTTATTTATTTATTTTTAATGCACTTAATTCTCTGTCAGCAGTCAGGTCATGCGGTCATGATCACATCATCAGGTCAGGATGATTACACACTAAGGATGTGACCAGATCTGTAGAAAATGACTGTCTGCACACAAGCTGTCATTATGTGTGGATGTCACTGACCAGGATGATGCATTCACCGTGCATCAGCAGCAGTGGTATTAGGGAGTAATGGAACACAAACAAACATATAGCCTACTGTAACACTGTTACGAGACTCCTGACACTACCACTGTCAAACTCCTTTATTTTGTCTATTTATAAACTGTTATTTCTTTGCAGGAGGTGGAGGAGCTGTTGTAACTGCACTGAGCTGCACAACCCACTAAAAGTTTTTAAATAAAGAAACTTATTAGGTCAGAGGGAGTGGATCTTACGAACATTGTGTTCTTCAGCAACAGGCATGGCATTCCTGTTAAAAAAGAGTGATTGTAAACACAGTCAGAGACCACAGAGGGAGGGTCAAGGCAGGTGAGAGGTTGAGAAACATGCCTTCCCTCTAATCTTTGGAGGAGAAACAATACAACAAATGTGCAAGAACGTCCAGTTTTCTTAGAACCTAACACACCGGGTGAAAGGACATGAAGAAGTACGGCTGGGACAGTTTTACAGACCTACTTTTCAGAAATCCTGCAGCTGCTGAACAGGTATGTAGAATCGTGTAGTTTAACCATAAAGAGGAGGAAATTACTTGAAATAAAAGCTCTGCATCTATTTTTGACTAGAAATCTAAATTACGTAAAAACACAAGAAGTTGATGTTTAATGTTTCCTGCTGTAAAACATGATGGAGTCAACTCTTTGTGAAGCATAATCCTGGATGAGGATCAATCACGTTATTATTAAAACCCATCAATCAAGTTTGTATTTGAACCTGTTCACTGATCAGGATTCACATGTGGACGCTGGCGATGAAAATGCAGAGCGTGGGAACTGGTCCAGTAAGAGGGACTACATCCTCTCTATGATCGGCTACGCTGTCGGACTGGGAAACATCTGGAGGTTTCCATATTTGGCCTACAAGAATGGAGGAGGTACATGGATATTTGTTAAGTATTAGCTTTTTTATTTTTATTTTAGTAAGCTGTTATCATGATGTTTCTTTGTATCCTGAACAGGTGCCTTTCTTATCCCCTATTTCACAATGCTGGTGCTGACTGGAATTCCCCTTTTCTTCCTGGAAAGTGCCTTTGGTCAGTTTTGCAGCCAAGGGCCGATCAATGTATGGAGATCAGTGCCACTTCTGCAAGGTGAGGTGATCATCACTGATGTTAGAAAACTATCTGAGTTTATCTTAACTTAGTTTATGAGTAACAAACAGACAACGAGTATGTGGTTAATAATCAACTGTTTAAACACAAATCAATCCTATCTTCTTTTAATGAGACTCACTGATAATGATCTCTAGGCAAAAATTAACTCTGAACATGAAATGAAAGGGTGTTTTTTTATGACTTTTTGGCTGCATACAGCTAACATGATCCAAATAGAGACTATGTAAATAAAATATGCACAATGACTTTTGTTTTATATGTAAAAGTGCTCCCTAACATGTGCTGTAGATARTTTTTTTGACATTTGTCTTCTTTTGTCCTCCACTTTTTAAAGTTTCTTTCTTTTACATGCATAAGAGTTTAAAAAATAACGTTAAAGTGCATGTGACATGCAYATCCTTCAATTACAAAGTCTAATAAAATATCTTTATATTTAGGAAACTTGGCATAATACACAATTTTACCCATTATGCCGCATAGCTGGCAGATTTTCTTTTAATTTGGCTCAGCCAAAGTGAAACAGGAAGTGACATCAAAGGGGTACTCTTAAGAAAAAATAACACCCTGGTCTTTTTTTTATTGAAACTATAATATTTGAACTCTAAATCTTCTTCATCTCCTTCAAAATAACCTAAAGAAACATCAGATTTTTCTCTACGGTCTGTGTTGTTAGCCAGTGTAGCAACACTCTGTCTATATTCAGACATTCTCCTTTCCCATCACTTCCTGTAACTTCACATGTGAATATTTTAACCACTGTTAATCTCAGTGGCATGAAATGTATTTTGGAATATGTTAATGCTATCTTTACAAAAATGCATTCATACTAATTACAAAAAAAATGATGTCACAGAGAACCAGAATATGTTTATATATTTTTTTTAGTTATAAAAAATACCTGTACAAAATTCTCTTCTCCCTTCAGGTGTTGGTATTGGAATGGTCATGGTCACTCTGATAGTATCGATTTATTATAACGTCATCATTGCCTACAGTCTGTACTACATGTTCGCCTCCATGCAGTCTCCTCTGCCATGGTCCAGGTGCTTCAGCTGGGCTGACAGTAACTGCAGCRACACACCTATTGGTAATTATTTTTTAATCTCTTGTTCTTGCAAGGATTAAATCTGTTATTCAGTAAATGGTGTCTTTCTTCTAAAGATAACTTAAATGAAAAGATGTGCGGATGTTAGTGACTCACCTTTCCGCTGCGTTGAAGATTGTAAAGTAACATAGCTTTCTGAGAAACGGTATGCATCAAGGGATGTTTTATGTAAGCCATTCACTGGTGTTTTTTYCCCTAGGTTACTGTAATGTGAGTGGTGTTTTGATGACCAACTGGACTCAGAACAACAACACTTGTCYATCAGCTGTAATCACAGTGCCAGTGCAGAGCCCGAGTGAGCAGTACTGGGAGTAAGAGAACATTGCTTTTTATATGAAACAATCACAAATGTWCTGCTACTGTCACGCCTCGAAAGGYACACATGCTAGTGAAATTTCTCCTGTCATTGTAGCCGTGTAGCTCTGCAGAGATCCAATGGTCTGGATGAAACGGGGCCAGTGGTTTGGCACTTGGCCCTCTGTTTACTGCTGAGCTCCATCATTGTTGCAGGAGCACTTATCAGAGGGATCAAATCATCAGGCAAAGTAAGTCAGCATCCTGCTCTGGTGCAAAAAGGAGAACTGAAAAGTGTGCTGCCCAAAMTGAAAATATGAAACATGCAAAATACCACCCGATAATAGTAAAACAATATATATTTTATTTCATTTTTGTTTGTTTGTCCAGGTTGTGTATTTCACGGCCACGTTTCCCTACGTGGTGATTTTGATCCTGCTGATCCGAGGTGTGACCCTCGAGGGAGCCAAAGATGGAATCGAGTTCTATATTGGTGCCCAATCCAATTTGACAAAACTATCAGAAGCCCAGGTAGACGTCTGACCGTCCACTTCCAGGAAAAGACATTAAATTAGTTGTGTTGRTTGAGAGAAAGGAAAAATCAAAAAATGGTTTGATGGAAAATGTTGCTGACGTGTTGCAGGTTTGGAAAGATGCTGCGACTCAGACCTTCTACTCTCTCTCCATCGGCTGGGGAGGACTCATGACTCTGGCTTCTTATAACAACTTTCACAACAACGTCTTTAAGGACTCATTTATCGTATCGCTTACTAATTCTGGTAGGAGCTTATAGAGGATGTTCTGTGATGGAATATTAAGGCAGCATTAATGTATGTATGTTTTAATGTCCTGTTTTCTGCACAGGGACCAGTGTGCTCGCAGGCTTTGCTATATTTTCTATTTTGGGTCACATGGCGCATATTTATAAAATACCTGTTGAAGAAGTTGTGAAAGAAGGTCAGACATTTTTATTATTTAGAAGCTAATGAGTTAAAACCTGTTTTAATAGCTAGTTATCTTGTGGATTTTCATTTATTTTGCTTCATTTTTGCAGGATTTGGCCTGGCCTTCATTGCCTACCCAGGAGCTCTTTCTAAGCTTCCTGTTGCACCGCTGTGGTCCGTTTTGTTCTTCTTCATGCTTCTAACTGTTGGCCTGGACTCTCAGTTTGCAGGAATAGGTTAGGTTTTTCAGCTTCATTGTATTTACTGCACATCAAACCTTTAACTGATATATTATTTTTTGTCTTTAGAGGTATTAACCACCTGCCTGCTTGATGCGTTCCCAAAAATCTTCAAAYCCAGACGAGCCTTGTTGACAATAACAACCTGTTCCTTTCTCTACCTCCTGGGTCTGCCATGCGTCACACAAGTAAGTCTGAATGAGGGGAATGTCCTTTACTTTGACTTGCTTACTCAGCATCCTCAGTGTGTGTGTGAACATTACAGGCAGGAATATACTGGGTGACTCTCATCGATCAGTTTGTAGCCAGCTGGGTGCTGCTGTTTTTGGTTCTCTTGGAGATCATTGGCATCTCCTACATCTACGGTGAATACGATGACTGAAACCCTGCGCATGTACACGTTTAAAGGTGAAAGATGGACTCAAACTCCAGTTTGTGTGTGGTTGTCGAACATTTCACAGGCGGGAATCGTTTTATAAAAGACATCGAGATGATGATTGGGAGCAAGACTTCAGCGTTCTGGTTGTGGTGGAGAGTGTGTTGGTTTTTTGTCAGCCCCTGCATCATACTGGTAAGTAAAAAAATCTCTCTCATGCACAAGTCTGTCTACTGAAATGTACCTGAAAGGTTAATGTATTTGAACATAACTCTTAAACATTAAAGGCATTGTGACGCTGCATCTTAAGGTCCTGTTACACTATAACATTTTAGACAACTTATGAAAATTTTTGCCATGACTGAATTTCTTATATGTTGTACATTTGATCTAATCATTAACATTACAGTATGTTTAGGTCCAAAAGAGACTTCCAGCAGATTTTTTTTAAAATTCCATCTTCAGTGTAGACATCTTTAGTGGTGGACAAACTTTATATAAGTTGTCTAAAACATTATAAAGTGACAGGGTCTTTACAACAGAAGAGTTTTCATAAATAGTTAAACCTAAATGTGTTCCTGTTCAGGTGATCTTGGGATGGTCTGTTGTGAACTTTGTCCCCCCCACCTATGGAAAAGTAGACTATCCAGCCTGGGGTTTGTCTCTGGGCTGGTGCATGGTCGCTTTTGTCCTTATCTGGATCCCTGTTGCCGCTGTTTATAAGCTGATAAAAGCAAAGGGAAACCCCTGGAAGGTGTGTTTCTGTGTTTTCTTTATCGCTCTGCAAGAACTGCAGAAAGAGATGTTTGGAAATAATAATAATGTTAAAATGATAAATTATATATAAAAAAAGGTATGTTAACATTCATCTTTTTGACTTTACAGCGTCTGAAGTCACTTTGTTCTCCATCTGWAGCCTGGCACCCCTACCTGGACATGCATCGAGGGGAGCGCTACTCTGAGGAGCGCTGCCGCCGGAAGAAGAAAAGTAAAAGTCATTTAGAGGTTAATGTTGACGTAATCTCAAGCTCATGGCTCTGATGAGTCCCTTATTCTGTTTGCTTGTTTCATTTTTTTAGGT